TCTACCATATGTAAAGTATCCCTATAACATGAATCTGTTTCTGGATTATCTATTCTGTTTCAATGATATATTATTGATTTGTTACTGTGTTAGTAGCACATTTTTTAAAAAAACAACTATATATTTTCAGTATTCTTTATATCTGGTAAGAAGATTCCATCATTTTTGTTTTCTTTTCAAATTTATCTTAGCTATATGTATCATTATCCTTCTAAATATAGTTTAGAATTAGTATGTCTAGTTGCCCCTTCAAAAAAATTCTTGCTGGGATTTTAGCTGAGATGGCACTCAATTTTTAGATAGATTTAGAAGATATGGAAATGTTTATAGTGTTAAACCATTGTACCCATAAATATGATATATGTTGTCATGCACTCAGGTCGTCTTTTATATCTTTAAATAGAATTTTAAGATTTATTGTGAAATAGTTAAGATGCATTAATGTACAGATTATAACATAACAAACACTTGTTAACACACTATCCATACCTAGCAAATCCTAACCTTTTATAAGTTTTGTTTCCAGAGGTGATATTCAAAATAGTTAAAGACTGGTGTGGCATAGACATCAACATAATGAGAATGATCCCTGGCTACCATTTTCTACCAGCCAATGCCTACAAAGCTCTACTTGATTTACATATTTTTAAGTATATAAAATATTTTAGATAGAGTTAAAGATACTTGTGTAGCTCTTTCCAAATTCTATTTACCTTTCCCTTCCTGTGCATCTTTTTATGCTATTACTATATATGTCTGTATCCATAAAAAATGTTATCAAACTTCATATAAGTGGTATCATATTGAATATATCAGTAGGGAAAGATCCATTTTGACACAAATTTTAACTGCTCTATATAGTACTCTGCTGAACAAATATGCCACAATTTACGTATCAAATTGCCAGTTTTTGGGGGGGCATCCTTCTAATTCTACTACAAATAATTCTGTAATAAACATTCATCTTCATGGATCCTTAGGAACAAATTTCTCTTGTACACTACCTAGTAGTGGAATTTTAGGTTCTAGGTTATATTCATCTTTAATTTTACTGGATAACGTAGTTGGACAAATATATACCAGCACAAACACTCAATGAAATCTTCATACTCTCCCCAACACTACATATTATCAATCTTTCCTTTTAAAAAGATTTTAACGATTAGTTTTAGTTTTTACTAATTCGATAAAAATATTGCTTTATGGTAATTTGCATTTCCATAATTACATGCTAATTGATTTTCACTCTGGCCAGTCTCAGAAGCAGCTTATTATTTTTGTAGAACTTTTTAAAGGAAACCTAGATATAGCAAACATACTCTCATACTGAATACTTCCCTAAATTTTGTCCTCTGTTGCAGTCCCTATCAGTAACAACTTGGTACCAATTATTGTGCAGGTATGCTTTTGGCTGCACATAACAGAAAATACAACTGCAAAATAACTTCAAAAGAGTGGGGCTTTTATTATGTACTATGGAAGTTGAGGGACAGAACTGAATTATGGCATAACTTCATGAAAAAAACTAAAAAAAAAAAAGACTGGAGAAAGGAGGACATAAAGAGAATAGAGAGGGGATAAATAGCAGAGGAGGAAGCAAAGAAGACAATTCCAATGTATATTCTGTTAATCAGGACATGAATCCTGGGGTCTCCTATGAACCAGATCTGTGTGATGAGTCTCACAAAGAGCTCAGAATCCACCAGGTAGGACAGAGAATACACTAGTAAATGGAGAGCTCTCTCCCAGATTGTTAAGTGCTCTGACAGAGCCATGCAAAAGAGTGAAGGGGAATGAAAGACTAATTCACTTGGGGTGATCTGAGGCTTCTTGGAGAAAGCAGCTTTGAATTAATCCTTTCAGGAGGGCAGGCCTTTTACAGGCAGTCATAGGAGTGAGAGTGGGGAACAAAGACATTCTAGGTAGAGGAACAGCTTGAGCAAAGATATGGCATTGGAAGAAGGCAGAACATGTTTGGGGGATGGTGAATGAGGCCTGAGAGACTGGCAGGGGCCAACTGTGGAAGTCCTCGAACAGAAGGCTAAGGAGCTGGATTTAAGTCTGCAGGTCAGAGGTTCCTTGCAGGCTGTAGGCATGGTCAGCTTTGAGCTTTGAAATACAACTGACAGCCTCTGTGAGGATGGAGTGGAGTAGAGTAGATGGGAAGCAGGCACATTAGAGCAGAGACCCATCCACCACTATGCCATGTGCCACTACACTCAGGAGAGGCTCCTCAGAGCTTGCAGGCTTCCAGAGAACTGTTCCTTCTCCCCTTCTCGTCTGTGAATGTCCTAATTCTCTCCCAGGGCTCGGCTCAAATATACCTTATGTGGAAGCATTCATTGCCTTCCTGTCAGTAATTTCCTCTGCGAGCCCCCTCAGTACCCTGATCTGGGATTCCTAGGTGACATGAAGCACTCTTATGCATCCCAACCAGAGGAGAACTAACGCTTCGAGGACCGGGTGTGAATCTCATCCATTTTGTATCTCCAATGCCTAGCATAGGTTTTGGCACATGGAAAAGCACTGGGAAACTTTTCACCAGGGAATTAGAAAAAGCACATGAAGGGAAAGAAGAAATGGGAGAGAGGAGAAGACTCGGGGGGGGGAGGGGAAGAGGCAGATAAATAAGGGTGTTGGGACGGGTAAGGGAAAGGAGAGGAGGAGAGAGGAGAAAAGGAGAGTACAGGGCAGCATGGGATTCCTTTCTCCTCCCATCAGTGGAGCCCTGGCACAGTGCGTGTCAGGCTTTGGAATCAAGTAAATGTGGGTTCATATCCTGGTTCTGTCACCTATTGGCTATGTGCCTTTAGACAAGGCACTTCACCTCTCAGGCATTAATTGTATCAACTATGAAATGATAATAATAGTCCCCTTTTCCTGGGTGTTTTACAACTGAAGAATAGATGTGAGTTCTTTGAGGACAGGTATCTGATCTTACTTGTCTTTGTTTGCCCAACATCCAGCTAGGGCCTTGGCACAGCTGTTTGCTCACAAATAATTAATGCTTGAGTAAAGAAATGAATGCCTAGGAGACTCGTTTTCTGCACTGGAGGGTAGTGCTCCTTGAGAGAGGTCTAACCACTTGCCTAGTGCACAAATAAAGGAGGAACATGGCCCAAATAAAAATTTTCAGCTATGTTGATATTCTTTAAAAGTGTCAGTATAGTCATCAGGGAATAAATAAAAACCTTTGGCAGGCTTTCTTCCATCTACTGTTTGTATTCTGAATTGCATATAATGTGGGGGCACCTGTCTTCTAGTGTTTAGTTTTATTCTTGTCATACTTGAGAGACGGAAATAAATATGACCTACTTCTTCACCACCACCACCACCCCCCGTCCCCAAAGCAGCTCCTGGGGAGAGAGACCCAGACACACACTACAACAACACACTATGTAATTAGAGTTGGCATAGAGTGGGCTGTAAGAAGGAGTTGTGTGGGAGCTCAGAGGAGCAGGAGCAGAGGAATCAAATAGTATCAGGGAGACACGGTGGGGGATGGAATAATCAACTGGAGAATAGGAGAAACTGATTGTTGAATAAGGAGTAGTAAAGCAGAAAAGAGACCCCACTGAGGCGAACAGAAAGGTGGAAGTCGGAAGCAGGACAAAGTTTGCCATGGAGGGAAGGCGACCCTTCTTGAGGTGGAAAGAAGCAGGACCACTTCCGGCCTGGGAAGGGGAGTCAACAGGCTCAGACCTAAGGAAAGGCTTAGAGAGGGCAGACGCCTTCTGGATTCAAAAGGACGAGGTGAGCTAAAGTGCCCAGCTCTACTGAAAACTGTGGCATCCTCAGGTCTGCAGCTCTGACCTGCTTGACTTCTCAGGCCCCTAAATTTTGTAGAAAATCTGCTAGGCATTCGGTAGCTAACCGCATCGAAGTAGTTGGGTTTAGAGGTGCCTTGATCCAGTTCAAAAGGGAGAGAGAAGGGGGCAGATCTCCTTTGGGCCACAGAATGGAGAGATGTGGACTCTGTGCGGACCACAGGAGGGGGGATGCAGACCCGTTTGGTACTTCAGAAAGGAGAAATCGAGAAATCGGTCAGGCGCTAGAAGGAAAGAAGCAGACCCCAGTTCTGGAGAGAGATAAGCGATGCAGAAATCCTTAAACCTGGAGAAAGGTGTCAGGACCAGATTTGGGCCACAGAAAGCAGGGGTTAGGATTTGGAGAAAGGATGAAGCAGAATGCCTTTTGAACAGCTGCAATGATCTGACTCAGACAGGAGAAAAGAGGGGCTAGTACCCGGCAGATTCTGGTTTGAAATGGGAAGGGGCAGAACTTGGTAGGTTTCGGGAACAAGGAATACACAAAAGCATTAATACCGTTGGATTTGTGGCTGAGGTGTCCGTGTTGCAGGAAGGATGGGACTGGTCACATGTAGACATGGATGTGGGGGAGAGATTTTGGGGAAGGGGCAGTGCTACTGCAGAGCGGAGGGAGGGGGGGGTTCCAGAAGGGGCTGTGAGTAGCTGTACTGCGGAGGAGAGGTTGGCGGTGTTAGGCAAGGGGCGGTGCAAAAAGGTACTGCAGAGCGGAGGGAGGGTGCAGGTGTTGGGGGATAGGTGGACTGAGATATGATGCAGTTAGAAAGAGTGGGCCGACACGTGGAAGGGGGTAGGGGAGTGTGAGATTGACGTGGTCAGACCGTGTGGTCCACCATAGCCGCTTGCGCGCTGAGGTACTGAGATGGGCGGGGTTGTTGCGTAAACTCAGTGTCGGGTTGCGCAGTATTCGGTTGTGGTAGACTTGTGTAGGGTAAAGGGGCGGGGTGGTAGAACTGACTTGTGGTTTCTTGGAGGCAAAAGAAGGTAGGGTTTAGAAACCAGGTGGTCTGGGTTTCTATGTATGAGAACTCAGTAGTTGAAGGGTTTAGGGCCCAAGGTTAGATGAGGTTTCCAATTCCTTCAGAAAATCTGATGAATCTCCTCCTTCCTCTCATTCTCCCCTAACTCAGACCCCTCCCCCTCAGGTTCAGCAGTATGTGGTCTCCCAGAAAAATGGATATGAGAAATGACTATGGTTATAGGATGCCCCAGTTCCAGGTGAGGCCCTCTGCATTCTCGCCAGGCCAGCTGCCCCATCTTGAATTCACTCCCTGCTTTGAGCCCCTCACCACTCTGTAGTTGCTTAATTTTCTGCTTAGCAGGTCTCAGTCCTCCCCTGCATGGTGGAGGAGGAGGAGAAAGAAAATAAGGCTCGACTGACTTTTTCTTTTACTCTCTTCCTTTTTCCTCACCCTCCCCTTATGACACTGCTCAGAGGAAGGGGAGACCTTCATGGAAAGGGTGGGGTGTAGGGATGTCAGATGGATCAGCAAATCATAATTCTAAGTCCATAGGGCCTTCTGCCTCCCCCTGGGAGCTTGGGGCTTCACCTCCCTCCAGATGTACAGGCTGAGACCACTGAAGAGGACAGTGTCTTGCCGATGCATTACCCTCTTGGTAGCAACAAAGGACCTCCTGGCTATGGACCCAACAGTTGCCAACTGGCCTAAAAAAAGCAAGACCAATAGCTTATTAAGGCTATTACTAAAACAACACTTGCCAATGTGATTACCATCAACAAGCCTAGAATACCTTTGCAGGTTTTAAAACTGCCAATCATCCCACAGATCAATCAGGCTTCAGCTACCACAGAGGCAGCCAATATTCAGGCTGCTTCAGTCACTGCTCAGCCTAAGAAAGCCAACAAGACAAAAAGAATTACTGCTAAGGCAGCCAAAGGCCCCCTATCTCCAGCTGGCAGTGAGTGTCACTACACAGATCAAGTCACTCTTGCAGGCCCTAAACCTACCAGTCATGCCACAATCTTCCAGGCTCCACTTGCCAGTGAGTTAGCCAATTCCCAGGCCTTAGTAGCCTCCATAAGCCTAAGAAAGCTTTCAAGGCTAAGAAGGCTGCTAATTAGACCGTATATAGTACCAACGAGATCTCTATGGCTTCAAACACCACCCGCACACCTACCACCCAAGGCCAAATTACCAATGAGACAACCAGTATCCAGGCCACAGAAGCCTCCATTCAAACTAAGAAAGCCTCCAAAGACAAGAGGGCAACTATTTACGGCACAAAGGCTGACACTAAGATTCTAGAGCCCCCGAATACCACTGAGAGAATTATCAGGCAGATTGAGCCCTCAACAGCAGCTATCTGGCCCAAAAAATTCAAAGGCAAGAAGGCTGCCAATAAGGGCATACATTTTTCCTAAGAGATTTCTGAAGCCCCACCTGCCATTCAAATAGTCACAAACCAAGCCCTAGCAGCCACCCTCCAGGTCAAGAGAGGGTCCAGGGTTTAGAAGGCTTCCACTAAGGCCTGGGTAGCTGAAAGCCACACTTAAATTGTTGACCAAGGAGCCCAGGCTAAGATGGCCAGCTCTCAGACCAACATAAGTGCCCTTGAGACTCAGGTTGCTGCTACTGTCCAGGCCTTGGCCGATGACTACCTGGCTCAGTTGAGTCTGGAGCCCACAACCAGGACCCGGGGCAAGAGGAACCGAAAGGTGAGATCGCTGACATCACCATCCTTAAATTTGCACTTGGTTTCCATTTTCATCTTCCTGGTTTGTTCATTTATTCTGTAAAATTTTACTGAGCACTTTTACTCTGAGACAGCCTCTTTGTTCAGATAGGCTGTGACGGATGCTAAGAATGTGATGTAGTTCCTGCTCCCTGGCAGTTCACAGATTGGTGGGTAAATAAGACATCCATACATTTAGCTGCAAACTGGATATAATATAATATGTAGTTACATAGTAGTTACCATGTGCCAGGCTTTGTGTTGGGCACAGTCACACAGGTTATGTTTTTATGTTTTGAAAGTAACTCTTACCAGCTAGGGATCATATGTCCCAGTTTTACAGATAGGAAAATTGAGTCCCAGCGAGATGAAGAGGCTTGTCCAAGGGGTACAGCTAGCAGAGTTAGTGGTGGGCAAAAGAAGAGGAACCCCAGGCCCTGCCCTTGGATTGCTCCTTTCCTATCAAAGAAATGAAACTCCTGCCTAGAAGACAGTCTAGGACTCAGGGTGGCCAAAAGTAAGGTCAGGACCCACTACAGGGAAGGTTTAGGGGACCTTCAGGAGGAGGCAGGGTAAAGAGATAGAGCCATCTCTTTTACCTGGTGACTGGACTTTCCTTCTTTCTGATAATGGAGTTCAAATATCTGAATGGGGATGAGAGAGGTGGCCATAATTATAGATGGATCCCATGGGGCCACAGACTTCAACCACCCCGAGATGTGGCCATTTTGCAAGAAAGGGTAAGAATACTGTGTTGTCCAGTCTTTTCTTCATTTGCCCTCTTCTTTTATTCTTCCAAGTTTTCTGAAAACATACTGAGATTTCCCTATGTATTTCTCTTCTCCCAGGCAAATAAATTGGTGAAATACCTGTTGGTTAAGTACCAAAGATCCCCATCAAGCGCTCAGGTAGAGTCCTCCCAACCCTCCTCCCTGAGCTCTCTTCTCTACTCCCCTTTCCCCATGCCCTGGGGGTAATCATATACCTTTATGGCTTACTCATTCTCTCATATGTCCTCCCCTATTCTTCTCACACTCTGTTAATGGCATCTCCCATTAAACATAGTTTAGCACTCAGACTGCACTGACCCCACAGGACTAGCAAAAGGGCTGTAGCTTTGTGGCCCCTGCTCAGCCCATTTATTTCCACCTCTTCCCTCTTGAAGACATGCTGAAACATGTCATCCAAGAATATAATGACTATTTCCTAGAGATCATTTAACAAGCAAGCTACGCTCTGGAAAAGATTAAAGGGCTGGCCTGGGGCATGGGCACAATAGTGAAGCCTTGAATCAAACAAAGGCATACATGTCCCTTCTGGAGGAACAACAGAGACTCGCTAACTCAGCCCTATCACTATGCAGATGGGCAAAAAGTGGCCGAGGGGAGTGCATAGAGCTGCCAAGGGTCACATAACAAGTCAGTGGTAAAAACACAGCTAGGACTTAAGCCGCCCAACTTAGTCTTGGTTTCTGTCTGCTCCTGGATATGTCCTGGAATGTATTTCAGATGTTCACCTCTTCCTTAAGTTCCCTATTATCTGTTTGCCTAGATTCCTACTCATCACAAGGGTGATGTTGATAACAATAGCACATTTGTTGCCTGTTTGCTGTTTGCTGGCCTCATAGCTAAGTACTTTACATTCATTATCTCACTGATTTTGCACACATACGCACATGCATGCACGCACAAACACACAAGAGCCCCTAGGTACAAGGGGATCTGTGGGATGCTCGTGAAGCTCACTGATGCCTAGCTGAATTTTTTAATCTCACAGGTTATTATTTTACATGGCAGATGTTTTGAGTCAATCTGAAGGAAATTGGTAAGCAAAGTAGCTTGTATATTCTTTTCTAAAATGTAATTAATTAATTAATTTATTTTTGTTACAGATGTTTCTCCTTTTTCCCTCACTGATACCTCCCTTCCCCACACTCCCCACCCTGTCCCCAGCTTTGTTGTCCATGTCTATTATTCATGCATACAGGCATATAAATTCTGTGGTTTATCTCTCCCCCACCATCCCCTCTTCTGGGTATTGTCAGTCTGTACCCGACTTCCATGTCTCTGGGACTACCCCGTTCCTCAGACTGTTATGTTCATTATATTCCACAAATAAGTGAGATCATGTGATATTTATCATTCTCTGCTTGGCTTGTTTCACTTAGGATAATACTCTCTCCAGGTACCTCCATGTAGGCTCAAAGGATAAGAGATCTTTCTTTCTGACAGCTGCATAGTACTCCATTGTGTATATGTACCACGGTTTTTTTATCCATTCATCTACTGATGGATACTTGGGCTGTTTCCATATCTTAGCTATTGTAAATAATGCTGCGACAAACTTGGGGGTGCATATATTCTTTCTGATTGGTGTTTCAAGCATCTTAGGGTATATTCCTAGAAGTGGGATCACTGGGTCAAATGGAACTTCAATTTTTAATTATTTGGGGTAACACCATATTGTTTTCCATAGTGGCTGCACCAGTCTGCATTCCCACCAGCAGTGTACTAGAGTCCCTTTTCTCCACACCCTAGCCAACACTTGTTGTTTGATGATTTGTTGATGGCGGCCATTCTGACAGGTGTGAGGCGATACCTCATTGTGTTTTTAATTTACATCTCTCTGATGATTAGTGATGTTGAGCATTTCTTCATATATCTCTTAACCATTTGCATGTACTGCTTGGAGAGGTGTCTATTTAGTTCCTCTGCCAATTTGTAATTGGGTTCTTTGTCTTCCTGTTGTTTAGTTGTATGAGCACTCTATATATATTGGAAATTATCCCCTTATCTGATGTATCATTGGCAATTATGCTCTCCCATGAGTGGGTTGCCTTTCCATTTTGGTGGTTGTTTCTTTTGCTGTGCAGAAGCTTTTGAGTTTAATGTAGTCCCATGTGTTCATTTTCTCCTTTGTTTCTGTTGCCTTAGGTGATGTATCAGTGAAGATTCTGCTGCGTGTGATGTCTGAAATTTTGTTACCTACATTTTCTTCTAGGGTTTTTATGGATTCATGAGTCACATTTAAGTCTTTTATCCATTTTGAGTTTATTCTTGTGTAGGGTGTAAGTTGATGGTCTAGTTTCATTTTTTTGCACGTAGCTGTCCAATTTTCCCAACACCATTTATTAAAGGGGCTGTCTTTACTCCACTGTATGTTCTTGCCACCTTTGTCAAGTATCAATTGAGCATATTGTCTTGGGTCCATTTCTGGGTTCTTTATTCTGTTCCACTGGCCTATATGCCTGTTCTTGTGCCAGTGCTAGGCTGCCTTGATTACAGTGGCTTTGTAGTATAATTTGAAATCTGATATTGTGATCGCTCCAACTTTGTTCTTCTCTTTCAAGATTGCTGTTGCTATTCGGGGTCTTTTTGGTTCCATATGAACTTATGAAGTATTTGTTCTAGTTCTGTGAAATGTGTCGTTGGTATTTTGATGGGGATTGCATTGAATCTATAGATCGCTTTGGGTAATATGGACATTTTAATGATATTAATTCTTCCAATCCATGAACAAGGTATGTGCTTCCACTTTTTTATATCTCCCTCTATTTCTTTTTTCAGTGTCCTGCAGTTTTTTGAAAATAGGTCCTTTACTTCTTTGGTTAGGTTTATTCCTAGGTATCTTAATTTTTTTGCCCCAATGGTAAATGGGATTGTTTTCTTAGTTTCCCTTTCTGTGAGTTCATGATTGGTGTATAAGAATGCCGTCGATTTCTTGATGTTAATTTTGTATCCTGCTACTTTGCCAAATTCATTTATTAAATCTAGTAAATTTTTGCTGGAGTCTTTGGGGTTTTCTCTGTATAGTTTCATGTCATCTGCAAATAATGACAGTTTCACTTCCTCCTTTCCAATTTGGATCCCTTATACTTTTTCTTCCTGTCTGATTGCTGTGGCTAAGACTTCCAGTACTATGTTAAATAAGAGTGGCAAAAGTGGGCATCCTTGTCTTGTTCCTGTTCTTAAGGGAAATGCTTTTAATTTTTGCCCATTGAGTATGATGTTGGCTGTAGGTCTTTCATATATGGCCTTTATTATGTCGAGATAGGATCCCTCTATTCCCAGATTGCTTAGCGTTTTTATCAGAAATGGGTGCTGGATTTTGTCGAATGCTTTTTCAGCATCTATTGATATGATCATAGGATTTTTATCTTTCATTTAGTTTATGTGGTGTATCACATTTATTGATTTGAGAATATTGTACCAGCCTTGCATTCCTGGAATGAATCCCACTTGGTCATGCTGAATAATTTTTTTGATGTATTGCTGGATTTGATTTGCTAGTATTTTGTTCAGGATTTTGGCATCTATGTTCATCAGGGATATTGGTCTGTAGTGTTCTTTCTTTGTAGTCTTTTTCTTGTTTTGGAATTAGAATTATGTTGGCCTCATAAAAGGAGTTTGGAAGTCTTCCTTCCTCCTGAGTTTTTTGAAATAGTTTGAGGAGAATGGGTATTAGTTCGTCTTTGAATGTTCGGTAACATTCCCCGTGAAGCTGTCCAAGCCTGGCCTTTTGTTTGCTGGGAGAGCCTTGATTACATCTTCAATGTTTTGCTGTTATTGGTCTGTTCAAGTTTTCTATCTCTTCCCAGTTCAGTTTTGGGAGACAATGTGTTTCTAGCAATTTGTCCATTTCACTTAGATTGTTGAATTTGTTCCATATAATTGTTCATAATATTTGTTAATGATCCTTTGCATTTCTGTGGTGACAGTTATTATTTCTCCTCTTTCATTTCTGATTTTGTGTTTTTGGGTTCTCTCTCTTTATTTGTTGGTGAGTCTAGCTAAGGGTCCATCAATCTTGTATATCTTTTCAAAGAACCAGCTCTTTGTTTCATTGATCTTTTGAATTTTTTTTTTGGTCCCCATGTCATTTATTTCTGCTCTGATCTTTACTATTTTCTTCCTTCTACTTGTTTTGGGGTTTTCTTTTTGTTTGATTTCTAGATCTTTAAGTTGGGAGTTTAGATAGTCTATTAGAAATTTTTCTTGCTTCTTGAGGTAGGCCTGTAGTGCTATGAACTTCCCTCTCAGAACTGCTTTCACCGCAGCCCATAGATTTTGTGTTGTTTTGTGCTCATTTTAATTGGTTTCCGGGATGTTTTTAATTTCTTCCTTGATCTCCATGGTAACCCATTCATTATTCAATAAAATGCTATGTAGCCTCCATGTGTTGAAATGTCTTTGCATGTGCTTGTTGCATTTGATTTCTAGTCTTATGCCATTGTGATCTGAGAAGATGCTTGATATGATTTCAATCTTCTTGAACTTGTAGAGAGTTAGTTTGTGTCCTAACATGTGGTCTATCTTTGATAATGTACCATGTGCACTTGAGAGGAATGTGAATTCTGCAGTTTTGGGGTGTAATTCTCTGTAGATATCTATGAAATCCATTTGCTCTAGCTCTTCATTTAGAGTCTGTGTTTCCTTGTTAATTTTTTGTCTAGAGGATCTATCCAGTGATGTCAGCAGGGTGTTGAAGTTCCCTGCCATGATTGTATTGCTGTTGATTTCTCCTTTGACGTCCTCCAAAAGATTTTTAATATATTTTGGTGCTCCTATATTGGGTGCATATATGTTTACCAAGATTATATCTTCCTGTTGGATAGATCCTTTCAATATTATGTAGTGGCCTTCTTTGTCTCTAGTTATGGCCTTCATTTTGGATTCTGCATGATCAAATATGAGTATTGGTACCCCAGCATTTTGTTTGTTTGTTTGTTTGCTTGGAAGATTTTTTTTTCACCCTTTTACTTTCAACCTTTGTGAGTGTTTTGTTGTGAGATGGGTCTCTTGTAAATAACATATATGTGAGTCATGCTTTCATAACCAGTCAGCTACTCTGTGTCTTTTTATAGGAGCATTCAAACCATTCACATTTAAGGTGATAATCGATATGTACTTATTTATTGCCATTTTTGTTTAGTGTGGTTATATTTTTCTTCCTATTTCTCCTGATAATTACAGCAAACCTTTTAGCATATGTTGCAGTGCTTGTTTGGTGTTAATATGTTCCCTTAGCCTTTTCTTTTCTGGGAAGGTCTTTATTTAACCTTTTATTTTGAATGATAGCCTGGCTGGATAGAGTAGTCTTGGATTCAGATCCTTGGTTTTCATGACCTTGATTACTTCATGCCACTCCCTTCTGGCCTGTAGTGTTTCTGCTGAGAAGTCAGCTGATAGCCTATGGGGGTTCCTTTGTAGGTAACCTGTTTCTTATCTCTTGCTGCCCTTAGGATGCTCTCTTTGTCTTTAATTTTTGGCCTTTTAATTACTATGTGTCTTGTGGGCTTTTTGGGTTCTTCTTACTTGGGGCTCTCTGTGCTTTTTTGTTGTTGTTGTTACAGATATTTAACCTTTTTTACCCCATTGGCACCCCCCTCCCCATCCCACCCTTGCCCCATCTCCGGCTTAGTTGTCCATGTCCATTGGTCATGCATACATGCATATAAATTCTGTGGTTTATCTCCTCCCACCCCCCCAACCCCTCTTCTGAGGGATGTCATTCTGTGACCTACTTCCATGTTTCTGGGTCTACTGTATTCCTCAGACTGTTATATTCATTATATTCCGTATATAAGTGAGATCATGTGGTATTTGTCTTTTTCTGCTTGGCTTATTTCACTTAGGATAATACTTTCCAGGTCCCTTCATGTCGTCTCAAAGGATAAGAGATCTTTCTTTCTTACCGCTGCATAGTACTCCATTGTGTATATGTACCACAGCTTTTTTATCCATTCCTCTACTGATGGACACTTGGGCTGTTTCCAGATCTTAGCTATTGTAAATAGTGCTGCTATGAACATGGGGGTACATATATTCTTCCTGATTGGTG